GAATTGTCATTAGCTTCATCCATTTTAATTCGTGTTTTGCTCACCTTGTTTCCCTGCCCTGTCGTTCACCTCCCTCCCCCCGTTATCCCCACAACAATCCAGCTCGTTATCGGGTATCTCTGCCGACAGTCCGGGTGAAGAAGGCTCTTCCTCGGCTTCAGATCCAGCTCTAGTAGGGCAACCGAATGTGAGTCATGCTCAGTTGATTTCACAACAGAACTATCTACAACAACAACAGCAACAACACATGCTTGCTCAACATTCACAAGCCCAACGCGATTATGAGCAGCAGCAGCAGCAACAACAACAACAACAACAGCAATACCATCAACTCCAAGCTGCTCAATCACGTTTAGCAGCTGGAATGGGTCCTCCCTACGGGACACGTCATCCCCAATTTCGTCCCATGACTCCAACCGGGGCTTACTACGCCACGGATGGGTCTATGACAGGCACGTTGACTGGCTTCAGTCGAGCTCAATTCCTTGTTTCTCCAGCTCCGTCGCCCACGCCGAGCAAAAAGAAATCACGTATGCTATCCGGTACATTGGGTCGCTTTTTCAAACGAAATCAGTCAAATGTAACTGGGGATATGCCTGCGGTACCGATTCCCTCCTTCTCTCCTAGTCTAAATCCGAACCCGTACCAATCACGTCCACCAGGCACAGGTGCCTACGGATCCCCATCCCGAATTGGGACCCCGATGGGACAACTGAGACATCCGCTTGGTCCGGGAGTTGGACTACCACCACATGCACTTCGTCCGCAAATGCAGGTGACCGGAGCGCAGCGCTACTCCCCCATGACCCAACAGCAGCTATTCCAACAACAACCACAACAACAACGCATGTTGCAGCAACAGCAACAATTCCAACAATTGGGTCAACAACGCCCTTCCCAAATGGGAATGCAGTACGCTCCCGGTACGTTGTGAATCGAATATTGTCCTATCAGGCAAATCGGTTCATATTGTTGGTTGAATACCCGTTTTTCACTTCTGTTTCGTATGCGGAAATCCAGGTTCTTTTCTAGGCTGTTTGGTCGTCAGAACAAACAAATATCAGAGTTTATCTTGCCCGAAGTGGTTGAACCAACTTGGTTGATTGAGACGGAATTTAAGTTGGGAGAGTGATAAGGCACGAATTTATCGTACGAATGAAGTTATAAAATACGGATAGAATAATGGCCAAACAGCTGACGAGTTCATTCACCAAAGTGTCACGACTGCCTAAACAAACAAATAACCAAACTAAATTATTCTTTTTACAAAAATCGTTAAATTCACATATGTTCACGCACGCATGCAAGCGCGATTCTCTAGACAACGGTATAGTTGGCTTATTACTGAAATATGTAGGCTATCTTTTTAACGTGGTAATACGTACATCAGATCCCGTTTGAGTCGATGGGGAAAATAGAACCAGATCTAATCGATGGTAACCCGTTATGGAATGCCCGGTTATCCTTTTTCTGTGTATTTGACATTCATTGTGAACAAACCTGTTCCTCTTGTTGTGATTCGCCGCCCGCACTCGTTCATCACATTGTACAAACTCTTTCGCGCGCGCTCTCAATCTTTCCCTCATTCATCTTCCGAGGTGTTGCCTCGTTCCAGATCTAACTGATAGTATTTTTCGATCTTTCTTTCTTACTTCCTTTTGACACGGTTACGAAATCAATTTCGGGGGTGGGGTTCGGGGTGTCTGAATGAAGAGATGAAAGGAATTCGATCGATTTTTCCACCAGTAAAATATATATGTTTGTGCA